TTTGAAGGTCTAGCAGCAGCAGTCATGGTGATATTCAGAATCAGCATCGTCGACTACCTATAGTCCACTAGGTTCCGTTCAAAAAGCGATTTATCAGTTGGGGTACTTCCCTCGTCAGATTTGTTTTTGGTGGTTTACTTTATAGGATACATATTCTCTGAAAAGTTTCATCAATCTCGGTAAAATAAAAAAGCTTTTACTGTGGGGTGCGGGGGCCTTAAAGGTGTTATAAATATTTTATTGCAGCGCGGTCGAAGCAGTTCAAGACATGTGTGGGATTGAAAAGGTTTTTGTCAACAACCCGGATGTCTGAAAACGAAATAACGAGCGTAAATGACTTCCAAAGGCAATTTTATTCTTAACGAAATTTGTCTTAAAACCGAACAAAACAAAAATAGATTTTTTTGACGACCTACTCTAACCGTGATTGTAGGTTATGCTAATCTTTAATCTTAGGCGGTTATGCTGATAAAAACGGTTGGATTCATCGAGTTTAAAAACTCACCAATTAAGCAGATGATTGAGAATATCAAAAATAATTTCGCCGACATGTTTGCAGTATTTAACTTTGACTCTTGAATTGTATTTTGTTGATTATGCACCGCTTTATGATATACTTGTTTTAATCAAAATAAAAATTCTTTTCTCTATTTTTACAAGGCTCGTATAATTTTCTTTCCTTCTTATGTCTCCTACATCTACAAATGTACAAAACTAAATTAGTACAGTTCTTCGGACTACTCAAGGAAGCAGAACGAGAGATAAGTTACATTATTTATTTATTATGACATATGAAGAACAGCATAATATTAATTGTCAAATGGAAACAGATAATTATCAATATACATTATATATGATATTGAGAATGAAAAAGGCTATTATAAATAAATAGTGTATCTCTCGTTCTTTTACTCACAATACGAACAGACATTTTTTTTCCTCCTCATGAAGCATTTCTGTTGTCAAAAACACTGACTTTGTTATCTCTGTAGATATAAAGAAATTGTATGACAAAAAATTTCTATAGAGAGTGATGCTCGTCTCAGAAATTAAACTGATTCTCCTGCTTGTACAAATGCAGAGTTTTAGCCTCAGTGCGGTTTATAACAAAAACATCTGGATCTGAGATCTTCGTTAGATCTATCCAGTCTGCTCGTCTCGATGTGAAGAGCAAACAGTCTGCACCACCAAGACCAGACTCCATCGTACGGACCTTTAGACCTTTCATACTGGCTTCGATAATAACTCCTACTTCGTACTTTATACTATTATGTATGAAACCCACACCGTCTTTTCGTAGATCATTTTCTCCAGGTTCAAAGACAGTATTAACGAAGTGCAAAAGATCTTTCGATTTCCTCACAGCAATCAGTGGCTTCACCAGCGAGAACTGTTAGGAGTGTCATTAACCCACAGGACTTCGCCCGAAGCTGCTTTCAAAGACAACGGCACGAACATCTTTGAAAAGATACTTAGATACCGAACTTATACATATACATAGAGCCTGCACCATCGTGACCACACTTCTCTCGATAAATCAATGACGTCGGCACTACAACATTCTATTTCTGTAACATTTCAACAAGTCTTTTGACTGTCAAACACACGACATCTTCACGAGATGAAATGAAGACACTAGTTGGTTCGTAATCAGGTGCCGTTTTCCAGACACATGTTTCTGGTAAGATAGTGTTAGAATACGCTCTGATGTACTTTTCATTTGGAATACTGTGGTATGGACTTAAAAACCTTTTGCAAAAATTCATGTGATTAACAGACATGTCCAAATGATTTTTCAAACCTAAAATTTTGTCCAAATCTAGTGAGCGTTTACTATCCTCAATATTTTTCGTTTCATATAATTCTTTACCAAGTGCTGCAAATTTCTTGTTATCCTGATAGTTACGTTGATACAATAAGAAACCCAGCACTTGGTTAACGGTCAAATTATTATCTCCAGCGAAGTCATCCAACTCCGCGTTAAGATCCATCAACTTTCTTTTTTTCTGTCTGTTTCCTACCTCCGAAAAATCGCGGGTTTGTCGTTTAGGCGGTTTGGATCATTAATGTAAATCTGATGTCTTTAGTACAATCTTCGGATATCTTAATTCTCGCCGTTCCTTGCTACATCGTTGCCAGTTGTCCAGCTCACTTTTTCTTCGCACAGTGTGCGTGTAAATTACATCTTCAATGTACGATTTTCGTTACGATCACAAAACTAGAATCGCATACCTGTAAGGACATGTGGTTTACAACGCTTGATTTTGTTTTATGCAACCGTTTTATACCAAATTATCGATAATTATATACCATTTGATGTAGTTTGTTACGCTGATTCTAAATATGGTCTTTTATTCGATTTTGAACGAATCTAGACTGAAAAAAATAGAAAATATGCTGAAAAACCGGGAGGTTTTGGAAATCTTACACCTTTCAGAAGCGTCGGCGCTAATTGGCACTAAATGGGTATATTCAGTAAATATTGGTGCACATTCTCTAAAAGTTTGAATCAATTTGAAGGCGGGATGTACCTGTAGCACACGGATTTTACGGAACATACCTGTTTGAAAAACTAGCTAGAAAAATGTAAAACTGTTTTTCTCCGGCTTAAAAAGTCAAAAACTAAAAAAAATTTTTAGCGATTGATAGAGGGCTGGACACAGATTGTCACGTCGAAAAATCGTCCAATGGCAAAGTGATGGAGCGTATGCTGAAATATATAACCTGCCATTCAAATAAAAAAAAAAGTCAAAAATATCACTTTTGTTTCTTCACCTAATGTCCACGTTGTTCCACACTGTGCGGTATATATATGCCTAATGTATCTTCTTCCGTCGTCATCGACGTTCATTCCGTTTGCAACGAAATGTTTCTTGATACACCTAGAGAGATTTTGCAGCTAGTATTATTTCCACGTTCTCCAGTGCAAATGATCAAATTTGACTCCACAATTTGTTGTTAACCACAACTCGCGATATACTCGAAAATCTTCCACGATTTCTTCCGTGGGATTTTCCACACAGCTTCATTAAACGTATCTAGGCTCATATCAGTCTGACATACTACTCCATCCCACATTAGAATATTTTTTGAAGTTGATACTATTCTAGTTGTGGAGATGAATTTCTTCTCTGATTATTTACATTTTTTTTTTCATTCACTAAGTTATATTAAATTTTGACATTCAAAGTGGGGTTTACTTTCTTCATCCAGTGTGATTCTCGCGCTTTTCCATGATTTTCATTAAGATAACCCGTTTCAAACGGTATAAATAAATATGTACACAGAACAACCAAATCATTTCGATCGAAGTTATGACATGGTATTTGGGTGAAGGTCGCAGTTTGAAGAGCAAAAATGAGTTGAAGAACAAATACTTCGTTCTTGAAATATACAGGAACAAAATATGTTCTTTCGCTTGTTGTCTGAAGACCTAAAGATCTCATACTTTTGACTGTGTGTCAACTGTATGGTGGTAAAATAAGAAGAGAAGTCCTTAATCTTTTACAAACTGGTTTGAAAGGTAATCAAATAAGGCTTTTGCTCTTTTAATCTCAATGATCAGAAAATTCCTTAGACGGCACTAAGTTTTTTATTCTGAAACCTTGTTTTCTATAAAATGGTCTCTAGAAACCAAGCAGCTCATGTCAAGTTGTTCTACGAACTTGTTGTCGTCAGTAATGTACAATCCACTAAGTTTCATCTCGACAGCTGTTAGAAGTTGGTGATCCTCTTTCGTTAACTGACGAAGTTCTTCTGAAAACGAAAAATTTTACCGATTTTCAAAGCACTCTTTTTCTTCCGCGCGTGCATCAATGAAGGTTATTTCAACTATAAGAAAAGTTGTTTCTTGTTTATACCTGTGATTCTATTTGAAACGTTAAATGTTTAAGGCGTATCTCCCGCCTCAGAAACGACGATTCTCGGATTTTGAGATAAGTACATACAAAGATAGCCTGAAGTGAAACCCGAAAAATGTTTACGAGTTTTCCAGAGATTCTGGATTTTCTAGAAAAGGGAAGCCTAATTCAAAAATCGGGTCCCAGCACCTCACACAGTTAGGTGTCTAGTTTAAAATAAAACCAACCGGAGATCTCTAGGCTGAAGTATATTTAAAAAAAGGATTCCACACTAGAGGGTGGTTTTTGACCTTGGACTCTGGAAAACCCCGGAACGGTAAGAGATAGCGAGCTAAAAATAATTTCATAACCACACTTTAATATGGCAAATATTTGCTGAAAGTTTGATCAAAATCGGATGTAAGACAAAAAAGATTTTTTGCTGAGGGGAGGGGGCCCTTAAATAAAAGGAGTATTACAATGTGTGATTTTACTTAGAGTAGAGAGTTTCCAGACATACTTTGCCTAGATTTCTAGCAAATAGTCAGACAATTCAGTAGGAGCAATTATCGGTCTCATGTCCATCAGTTTCAATTCATAGATAATTATCCTGGTGGGATTATAGTCATCCTTCTCTAACTCATTATATTGCTTTTTTGTTTTCTTTTTATTGTGGCGCATACCAATAGTTAAAGAAAACAAAGAAAAGATCAAGACCGTACACCTATTACAGTGTGTTTTCTAGCAGCAAAAACGAGCGAGAAAAAGAGAGAAGAAAGGAAAACACATTATCTAATAGTGTGATGAATAGTTACCATAAGAATAAAAAGCTATCATTTCAAACTGTTTATAGATCGGAAAAGTACTAAAACGATTGTCATTCGTCGAATTTGTCTAACAAAAAAACAACACAAGCATACATCAAAACAACAAATAGCGTAATCCGAAAGGTAACAATGATGCCAGCTACCAGCTTCTCCTTCTTCTTAACTGTGTTAATGTTTATAATTGGGACACCATTAACACGTGCAGAGACAATAACTGATGCTGAGCAAAGATGCTTCGAACACATTGGAGGAATCTACCTTCGTAAATACAAGAGTCTGGACAACGCCTACGGCTTGCAATTCTTCTTTCCTCTTGGTGGAATCCCTGAATTTGATTCAGATCCAAAAAAAGAATAAAAGTAACTTCATCAGTGATTTGGTTGGTACAAGTGTAAAAACCGAGGATCACGAACTGAACTGCCATTTCATGGTGTTTATTATGGACAATCCGGAGATCGGACCGTCATAACAACAAATTCAGAAACTAGTTGTCTTGGTGCTAAAACCAACTGCAGTGATAATGTTATTTACTATTCAAATGGAATGCTCTCCGGTAAAACTTATCCATATGAATTACCCAATCTGAAAACTGATAAATTTCAAAATCAGCTACCAGGTATAACAAAATTGTCATTTGAAACTCAACGTCTCTACGCACATCCACCAGTTGATCGGAATTCTGACCGTGATAAATGCTATGGTGATATGGCTGGTTATTGACATTCAATAATGACGATCGCCCACATTTCTTCTCACTCTGCCCTATTCAACTACCAGAGAAGTCTTATCAGAATATCTCAATATTTATGTTACAAAATATTCAGATGGAAGTTATGATCTGACCGGATTTCTTCCATTGGGCTATTTTGTTACTGTTGTCTCAAATGAACGAAATGAATACGGTACATTTAATAGTGGAACAATTGTAGGCAAGTGTTTCATTCGCGAAAAGTCAAGATTCATAGTTTGTTCGGCTTTAACCTCAACGTGATCTATTTTTCATTTATATAGGTACATGGCATTACACTAACACACATGCTGTTGATGGCAAGTACAATTACTTCACTTATCCAGCTAACAAAGCAACGGATGGCGAATGAATTGTTTCAGCAACGTTCTACATGCAATGTCCAGCACTCGGCGATAATTCTACACAATATGAAAACTGCAAGGGCTCAGAAACAGAATACTATCACCCGCTACAGCATCAAGGTATGCCTTTTCGAGATGGAAAACTTATCAGTTCCTCATCACCAACGTTCATCTTAAACCGTTACTTGTCACAACCAATAATTATATCATGTCATGAAACTTTTGGTGGTGTCTACACATTCAGATATACAAGTAATATTTCTGGCACGTGGAAGTATGATAAGAATGAAAAATTGAAAATACGCTTTTTACTCTTTGAATTTATTAGTAAGAGTCGTTCATCACTGGTCATGTACCCAACAAGATTCACATTAACGTGTCAAAATGAACAATGTAAGGGGTCGGCTCAAGTTTCATTTACCTTGTGAAATTACCTCAAAATGATAAATTCAGTGAAAAACCAATGATGGCACTGCCATCATGGCAGTGAACTATACGATCACAGCACGAAAATTGGATTATGAGAACTATTAAACAGCATATTCATTCTTTTCAGAGGACAGAACACTCCAGACATTGATAAAGATTCTTATCTACTTTTTTCCTAGGTTTTTGTTCCATAACTAACATTTTTTTTGCATTTCCAGCCTAGTTTTATTTAGACTTCTGTTCTCAAACGCTTTTCTGTTTTTTTCCCATTATATTTATTTTGGTGAAAGAAGCGTTTTTTAGCAGAAAAGGTTTGCTGGGTAGACACTACCTACCTTATGTTCTTGTATCGTTAAAATGCTACATACACTAAAACTAAACATAATTTGTAAAAATTTGCACGTCGCACTTTCACAAGACAATGAATGATACTTTTTTTTATCATGTTTGATCGCAGAGAAGAAATAAACAGGTTTTGTACATACCTTTAAAGAATATAAGATAATCTCTCAATGTGCAACAGAATAAAACAAATTGTACTAAATCACCATTAAAGGTTAAATGTCATAATTTCTTTTTAGTTTGCAATTGATTTATAGCTGTACGTAAATGCATGTCAATATTCACATAACAATTAAAAAAAGTGCAACGTCTATTAAAACACAATGTAGTGACATACATAAAACACCGATGTTGTGAACAAACTTGATTTCGTTTTGTTTTGTGTAGACTTGAAATGTTTAGCTACAAATTATTATTCTTTCTCATTGCTGTATCATATAACTATTGTCTCTACTTACTTAC